CGCACCGGCCCGGCCCCTTCTGCTTCCTCCCGACCCGCTGCCGGCGCGCTCCCGGCCTGGCCCCGGCCGGCCTTGAATTTGCCCCCGGACGGCAGCGGACGTGAGAAAATGATTTCCTCCCTTTAGCATCGCCACTGCCCTCCTGGGTGACAGGCGTAATGGCCTGTTTTGCACGAAACATGAGTTGCCGACTTCCCCTGGTGGCAGAGCCAGGACGGGAACCTAGGGCTTTGGTTTCTGTGACAGCAGCCCCCTCCTCGCCATAGGAGAGCTGGTCTTCTTGTCTTTACTCTTTCCGAAGCAGCTTTCTCTAGAATTTTGGAATTGTGTCCTTGATAGGAGTCGGAGGAAGCGGGTGGAAAGGCTTGAGGTGGAGAAAAGTTGTCACATTTATGCAGTGAGGTTGGAGCAGGTGCAGGCTGGAATCCCCGTGCCACCCTCGCTGGCTATGTGGACGGGAACAAGATGCCTCCTCTTTGCCCTCGGTTTCCAGATCTGTAAAATGGGGCTGCTGACAACGGTAGCTGTTCGGTGGGACTGAACGATGTAGGTGCTGCCTGGCACCCGGTGAGGCTCGGGGAGTTGCTGCTGCTACTACTGATGGAATCTTACGTTTTTCCCTCTGAGTCGGGGAGAGAGCTGGGTCCTGAGCCAGGATGGTCCAGCCTTTCTCTCTGGACTTGCTGGCTTCTGGCTCTTTCCACCTTCTTTCTCTCTCTGCAGGCACGTGAATCATTCTCAGGTAGGGTAAGGTTTTCAGAGCTGCTGATTCTGAGGGGTGGGAAGCGAAAGAGGCTTCCTCCCCTCTCCCTTTTTCTTCTCCCAGATCTGACCTCTGGAGACTCCACCCATCCTTGAGAAAGAGGACATGGCTACTGAACAAAGGGAAGCAAGGTCTCAGGTGAGTTCATTGTCATCTCAGGTCTTAGGGACAGATACAGATATTAGGGGTTTTTTATCCTCAGACTGAAGCTCACTCCCATTCAGTTTCCACCAGGATTTGGAGTCCAAGTCCTTTCCCCTCTGAAGACTTGGTCCACCCTGATGGATGCTGGGTTCTGTAAGGAATGCTTTTCTCCCCCTCCCCAGTCTATGCCTGTTGTTTCTGGTTTCTTTTCCTACTGGGCAGTCTTTTATTCTTTAATCTCAATTCACTGTATGATTATCGATTTGACAAGGAAGATGCCACAGGTCTTATATCACTTGGGGACAGAACCAACAAACATAAACATTTGGCAGAGTTCCTTTCTGACCTGCCTCCTTGGCTACTCATGCCCCGTTTCCTTCCCTTAGCCAGAGTGCTTTTCATTTTCTTTCAGTGCTTGAGAATCCTCATGATTCCTTCCCCAGACTTTTCCCTGTCCATAGTTGTTTCATTTTTTTTCTCCCTCTTGATTGTGTGCCTAGCTTCTACCAGTCTGTTGAAAACTGTTCCTAACTTGCCATTTCATCCTTATGAGAATAAGTGTCGGACCCCATCCGAGGGAGTCAGTGTGCAACCAAAGGATAGCCATGTTGGAGAGGACACAGACAGACAGGCCTCTTGACTCCAAGGGCAGAGAGAAGACTCCTCAGGAAGCGGCAGGGAGGGTTTTGTGCGATATTGGTAGTGGAGAGGCAGTGTGTACAGTGGTTACTAAGTGGGGCTTTTGAGCCACTTTTGGGCCGAGTCTGTGCCCATCTCCTCTGCTGCTGTAATGGGTCTTAGGCAGATAACTCCACCTCTCTGTGCCTCAGTTTCTTCACCTATAAAATGAGAATGACAGCCGTGCCTACCTCATAGGGTAGGTGAGAGGGTCCCATGAGTCAGTTCACGGAAGGTGTTTAGATCAGGGCCGGGCATGTAGACGGTGTTCAGTATGTGGTGGCTGTGAGCGGAGCTGTGTTATTCTAGCCCATGATGCTATTACTGTTGGTGGACAGAAATTACTCTGCAGTGTTTCTCAGACCCAGGAAGCACTGTGCTCCCTTTACTCATCTTCATCTGAGAATGATGGTTGACGTTGCTGGGGAACGTCCTGGGGGCTCCTCCTTTGTTCTCACTCTTGTAACAGCACAGCAGTTATTACCCCCATTTTACACATGAGGAAACTGAGGCTCAATAAAGTCAAGTGACCTGAAATCAAACCCACATATGTCTGACCTCTGAGTTCATGCTGGTTACTGTCCAGCCGTTTCTCAGGTGCATCTTTCAGAACACAGGGAAGGCCCAGCCCCTGTGTTACCAGAGCTCTTTGCAGTGTGGTGTTGTGTATCTTTTGGACCCAAGAAAAGTGGTGGTGGTTGGTCTTCTGAGGCTGTGGCTAGGACCTGCCTTTGCATATTTGGGCTGCTTTTTTTCTAAATCTTTCCCATTCCGTTACAATAGAGCCAAGGTGCTCTCTTGCCCAGAGTCTTCTCTGTCCCTGTATGTGAGTCTCCCTAAAGTCACCTGCTGCCTATATGTCAGTTCTGGGTGGACTTGTGTGTAAAACTCAGGGACAGGACGTTTAAGATCAGAGAGGGAATACACCCACCGAGTGCTGGGTTAAAAGAAACCTGTATTTATTGTCCTGCCTCTGCCATTAATAAAGTATGTGACCTGGTTCTTGACTGCTCTGGACCTTCCTCACCTCTCAAATGAGGATTGAACTAGGAGATGGTGTACGGTCTTGTCCAGTGACCCGTTTTTCTTTCATTATGCAAGTTATTTCATACATTTTTCTTGTCTGCCAGTTGGATCATAAATTCTTTCGAGGGCAAAGGTAATTTCTTGTATTCCTCTGTATGCCAGTAAATTATCATACATGTATTATGTGTTAATATTAAAATTCTCAGAGAATAAAAAATACATATATAAAGAAGAAAGTGAAATCACTCTCACCCCAACATCTCGAGATAATCATGGTCACAGCTTTGTATGTGGCCCTCAGAATAATTTCCTATGCACCTTTATTTAGTTATTATTTATTTATGTACAAATGTATGTATGTATTTATTTTACCATTTTAACCTTTTTATTGTGATGAAATAAACATAAGATTAAGTTTACCACTCTGTTTTTGGTTGTATGATTCATGGGCATTAAATACATTCACACTGTTATGCCACCATCACTACTGTTTATCTCCACTGTATGGATTATCTCGTTTATTTCTTAACCCTGTGAGGTAGGCATTGACGGGCAGTTTTGCAGAGTGTTTAAGAATGGAGCCTTGGATGCTCCTTGGATTGGAATTTCCCCTCTGGCCCTGGCCAGCTGTGATTCTGTGGTCTGTGATATGAAATATATATCTGGTCTTCGACTCTGCACCTCACGTATAACTTCAAACACCCTTGTGGTTTCCGAAGTGATTAGTAATATTTGTTTTTTATTCCTGAAATTGCTTTAGAGCTATAAAAGCAAAATGGCTTGTGCGTGTTTTGTTATTCCTAACAAGCCCTTTGCTCCATACCACAGTTTATATTAATGAGGTAGCCTTTGGACCCCACCAAGGGTGGGGGCTGATTGCCGGGGAACCAATCTTAATTAGAGGGTTGGAACTTTCAGCCCTGCCCCCCTGCCTGCTTAGGGGCTGGAAGTTGAATCAGTCACCAGTGGCCAGTGATTTAATCAGTCATGCCCGTGCACTGAGGCATGAAAACCCACAAGGGTTGGAAGTTCTTCCGGGTTGGTGCACATGTGTGGAGAATCAGGGAAAATGGCACATCCAGAGAGGGCACGAAGCTCTGTACCCCTTCCCATAGACCCTGCCCTGGGGACCTTTCATCTGCCTGTTCCTCAGTTACATCCTTTTATAATAAACGTGTAATCTAGTAAGTAAGTATTTTCCTGAGTTCCGTGAGCCACTCTAGCAAATTAGACGTGAGGAGAGGGTTGTGGAAACCTCCAATTTGTAGCCAGTCAGTTAGCAGCACAGGTAACAAACACCCTGGACTTGGGATTGGCACTGAAGGAGGGGCAAGTCTTTTAGGACTGAGTCCTTAACCTGTGGGATCTGACTCGATTTCCAGGCGTCAGAATTGAGTTTAATTGTAGGACACCTAGCTGGCGCCACACAATTGCTTGGTTTGTGGAAAGCCCCGCCCGTATGGTGTCAGAAGTGGTGTTGAGGGTAGAGGAGGCACACAGGAGGAGTGAGGTTTTCCTTTGTACCAGCTGTGTGACTTGGATAAATTTCTCTTTGTTTTCTCTTGTGTAAAATGGAGACAATAACAGTACCTTCTTCATAGGATTGTTGCAAATATAAAAGATTTACACAAAAAATTAATATAAAGCTCTAAGAATAGTACTTGACCCAAAAAAGCGTTCAATACATGATAGCACTGTTCATTTCCATCATCACCATCCTCAGGCTTCAGGGAAGACAGAGATGGTGCCTTGTTATTTAACCTGGCCTCCGTCAGTGATTGTTCAGGTTGTTTCCACTTTTTCGCTGTTACCAATGCCATGAAAAATGTCCTTGTGTGTGCGTTTTTGTGTGCTGTTCATTATCACACAAATTTTGCAATTGGAGAGTTTAAGAATAGGCACATTTTAAAACTTTT